CCACGATGATATCGTTGACTGCAAATTTATTTGCAACGACGAGTCTTTGCTTTGCTGCACTAGTGACAACCTCATTCGATTGTTTCACATAAGAACTGGTGACCTGCTCTGCTTGTTGGACATCGAGGAGAGACCGTTCAGTCTGGGTTCCTGCGCACGTAGCGATCTTGTAGCCGTCGGTTTGTCGTAGGGTAGATTGAAATTCATCCAAGTGAAGCTGCCAAGAAGAAAAGAGTCAGGAAGTAAAGGTATAAAAGTAACGAATCTACCAGCATTCCTTTTACTCTTTTTTTTTTTTTCATTGAAGTTGATAATGATGGTACAAATCATAATTAATCCAGCTAGTGGATTTTTTTAAGCCCCTGCAGTTCTCATTCACACCGTTTTATCTAATGGTTTTTTTTAGTTGAGTTGAAGCAATGGATTTGTCTTTTTGATAATAATTATTTGGAGACCAGCGAGGGCTTGCATTGCTGGTGTGAGTTCTAATTGTGGAAAAATTAACCCTGGCTAAAGTCACTGTTGCAGTTTCAAATTTAAAGCTTTTTAGAAGAATGTACTGTCGTAATCCAGATATTGGTCGGTAATAAATAAGCGGAGATCATTTTGAGGTTTATCAAGGAATATTTGTATATAAACGGAAACATACTATCCAAACGATAGGATGAAAAATAACAAAATATCCGTAAGACATTTTACAGTAAATACAGAATTGATTTCGTTTTGATTTTGCAAGAGAACAGTGCGGTGAATTGCTGGGAGCCACCCATTTTCATAATTCGTTACGCAGTCACCATAATGGGGCGAGAACTTGTTACATTTTTTCTAACTTCATTAATTGCAATACACAACAGAATGAGTTAAGGCCGGTTTTTTTAATTCATAACTTTCAGCAAACTATCCTAAAACGTCCTGAAGAAAGTTATAGCCATGGAGATGTTTTGCAGAAACCCAGCACCAACTCAGGGTGAACTTAACATGTCTGTTTCTCACTTGCCGGTTCATAGACGAAAACTAAGTGGAGGTAAATGGAAGAATCTCTGAGAAGTTTGGCTGCGTTAAAGAATCGTCACGTAACATTGAAACAGCTCTTAAAACCAACAAAGAGGCAAAACGTAAAGCTATGTAATTTCTGTGGTCAGCTCAACCATGGAGTCGAGAGTTCTTTTGTCTATGAGCTTCTGGAGGAGTGTAACTTCTGATAACAAGCGAAGACGTGGTCAAACCGCCGGATATATCAGAATTTCACTAGCGGCTGTGGATTGTTCCTCCAATGCCTTGTCTCCCCAAGAATACATCATTGGAGACTTGATACGTTTGCTCGGCTCGCAGTTTATATATTTTGCTTTGAGGATTTTAGTTTAGTTTGCAGTAAAGAACCGCGAGGACTTGTTCTTTGTAAATCCCAAACCTTCACTTACGACCGCCATTGATGTGAATTCCACAGTTTGAGTTGAAGAAGTCAAACATCTCAAGCGACGTAGGAGTGAAAATGCATGTATTAGTGGGCTTCATTTTCCTTTAAAGTTGTCGTGCGAAGCAAATGGCTTGAAGGAAATTAAACGCGTGAGTTAGTCAAAATGACTTGTTCTTTTGTTCTTAACTGCTCATGACTTGTTCCTACGAATCTTAACTGTTCATTTACACTTGAAGTCTGATTGTCTTTTGAATTCATTGTAACTAGAAAATGTCTTGCAATGTTGTGCCCTGAACATTCCATCATAGAATGCTGGTGGATGATAAAAGAAAAGGATTCCAGGGATTATAGTGGTCTCCAGTGATTATAATCGAACCGTTTTTGCTTTCTGTGTGGCTTTAAAAGGAGACCTACAGCTTACTTGTATCCTGTTACCTTCCTTGACGTACTATGGTAAGAGTTGTGACTCGTGGCCGGTGTGAACAGAGGTCTTTAAATCGAAATCCCATTCGTTTGAATTCACTTTTACATTGCCTTCGGTTCACGCTTCTCTATACACCAATTTCCCCCAAGGCCCC